TCAGAATAGGGAAGAAAGGTGAAGTTAGTAAGTAATGTGACATGGCTATTGGTGTTAGACCGGCTGGTCTTTGCCATCTCCAGTATAGGATCCCAAGTTGTTGCTGTTTTTTGTTGTTGTTTGGAGAATGCTCTCAAAAAAAACGATGAGTGGCAGTTCTTTGGGCAAAAAAAGTCTTGCTGATGGCAGAGATCAGAGGAGAAGCAGATAGGAAGACAAACAGCATCCCAAATAATCACTTGTTATAATCAAAGAGCATCTCTGAATGCACAACATGCTGAACCTTGAAGCAGATGGGCTACAGCAGCATAAGACTACAGGCAGGCTCACCAGAAAATTGGAAAAACTGATGAGTTTACATTTCTGCTGTGATTTTGTATGGGTCAGAATTTGGCATAAGTAACATGAAAGCATGGATCCATCCTGGCTTATATCAGCGGTTCAGGCTGCTGGTGGTTGGGCAGATATTTTCACTTAGTACCAACTAAGCCTCATTTAAACAACACAAACTAGCTGAGTATTGCGGCTGACCATGTCCATGCCTTTACGACCACATTTCGTACCAGTCATCTTCTGATGGCTGCTACCAGCAGGATGACACACCATGTCACAAAACTCAAATAATCTCAAACTGGTTCTTGAACGATGAGTTCATTGTGCTCAAATGTCCTCCGTAGTCACCAGGTCTCAATCCCATAGAACATCTTTGGGATGTGGTGGAACGGAAGATTTACATCACAGATGTGCAGCTGCTGAATCTGCAGCAACTGTGTGATGCTATCGTGTCAAGATGGACCAAAATCTCTATGTTTTCAACACCTTTTTGAATCCGTGCCATGAACAAATAATGCAGTTCTGAATAAAAAAGGGGTATTATTGGCAGGGTGTATCTAATAAAATTTTTACTGATGTAAAGTTAACGTTGGGGTTAAAAGAAACCAAACATCCCAGTTTTCAGTCTGGGATTTTGATGGACTTCTCTTTTTTGTAATAAATACCATCACATCTCACTTGGACATAACTCTCACTCACAGAGGTTTTAATTATAATTCATTTTACCTCACTATTAGCAGAATACAGCTACTTTTCATACATCTAAGAAAGAAATAAAAAACACCCAAGAGTCCCCACAAAAGAAACTCCCACTGAAATGTTAAATAACATTAAAATGTTTGATTGTAATGTCATGGACGTTTTACCATCATTTATACTTTTCTGGCTAAACTTTAAGCACATGGTAAATTAAAATGTTTTGGCAAAACTGTTTTTATTTAATGGTCTTAATATAGAGTTTATTTTAAAAGTCTTTTTCATATCCTTGCTCACTGATTTCTTTGGAATTTGGTTTGATATTACTTAATTGGATCCTTAACCTACACCACACACATCTGAGCACCATCCAGTAATTGCATTATGTTTATATCTCAGGCCCATGACCTGGTTATTGTGCAGGAGGAAGAGTTCAGATTGATGTATTACTGTAATGCTAACTGTGTTTCTTTCATCATCAGCTTCATTTGGCCTGTGATTAACTCCCAATCAAGAGGCTTGATTAAAAGTGGGAGTAAAAATATTCCATACATATTTTAATACCCCACTAACAAGGAAGCCAGCTCCCAAACTGCCAACAAAATAGATATACACCCATAACACGCACGCACTCGCACATACATCTCCCCTTTTCTCGCCTGAAAACACACACCTAAACATTTCACGGCTATCTCCCCCACACCCCCGATGCCGGCTAGGTGGAATTAGAAAACCAACCCCGCGGTCTCATTAATTAATTAAACACTGTGTGCCACTGGCACCTGGGTACCGGTTATCACTGCCACTCAGACACACCATGATCTCAATAACCACCCCACCACAGGGCAGAGAGAGAGACGGGGAAGTGAAGGGACTGCTGATTCTTCTTTCCCAACTTTGAGGTAAAGACCTTTAAGGAGCGAGGAAACCAGACAGCAACAGAAGGGAGACCGCGGACTCCGTGTTTCTGTGTAGGCGAGAACGTGGAACTCTTAATGGAGCCTGATCAGTGTTTACTGCTGCATGCTTTTGTTTGTGTGTCTTTTCGCTCGCTTACGGACTCCGCAGGACCGTTTTATCATCCACCCTAGCAGGGGCCCTAAATCACTGCAGCAACACGCTCCTCATCATTTGCTCTTAATGCTTCTGGATGTGGAAACAAAGCATGAACACACACATAATTACACACACGCTTTTTTGATTCCTAGCCAATGAATGGTTTACATTCTTCTTCTTCTTTATTTTTTCTTTATAGAAAAACATATTTTGCAAATAAAAACCACAATTGTAATTTAATTGTAAGCAAAGAAATTTTTAGATGTTGTTCATGTTGATCTTAAAACAACAAAATTCTTTAATTTCATAAAGGAAACCTTACAGTGGACACCTTTGAGTAAAATCACGCTACAAACACTCATAAAATGTCTCACAGAAACCCTTTTTTACTGTTACCTAATATCTGTTAGAAGTTCAGAAAGCAAAAGACTGATTACTTCCTGAAAAATGACTCATTAAATATGTTTTTTTTTTATATTGTCCATCTATCCAACTGATTATCAACTTCCAATCAAGCACCAGCAGATCAAACAGTGGACAACAGATCAAATGTCAGGTGTGTAAAGCAGGGATTTCTCAGGCTAAACCATTCCTGAATATTAAATCGGAGTATGTATTTTACCCTATTTGCAAAAGTCAAACGTATCAGGTTCACATACATAAATTGACGCGAGGAGCATCGCTGCAATATTCCACACCTTGCTATCTATTTTAAATTAAATCATGGCCACCAGCACTAATTGGACCTATAGGGACAAATAATTTGAAGTTCTGAAAAATAAGTGGTATCGCTGTTGGTTTTGTTGCCTTTCAGCTTTTGAAATTGACTCAAAATGTCTGAATCAATATGAGATGAGGGATTTGAAAACTCAGTGCAGGCGAACCGCGCGACTTAATCAAACTAAGAGAAACATTTCTGAATATGGAATATGACTGAGATCCCCGGTGTCCTGCACAAAAGTGGAAAAATATAGAAGATACTAAATTAATATGGAACATGTAAGGCTCCCTATTATCATGAACTACTTAGAGTCAAGTCTATCTGGAAAAAATTAAGAGGTTTGACATATTGCACAACCCGTTTACAGAGCCTTATATATGGAAGGTGCCCTTTTGTCCATCAGTTGGCTTCAACTCAGAGCAGCAATGGATGTCATGGGAATGTGCAACTATAATTCTTCCAAACTGACATGGAGACAGGTGAACATTTATAATATATGCAGAAAATGTACAACGGTTTGGGTTTGTTGGTCATGCTTTCCAGTGCGACTGGATGTATAAAACCTAGTTATTAGCTAAGTTTTTGTTTGTTTTTCAGCCAAATTTCATGGTTTTATTGAATTTCTGTGCACCAGCTCTGCTCTTTGTTTCTGCAGATCGATCAGAGTGTGTCCACAACAGAGGTGGGACACTTGATTGAGTTTGCAAACCCATGGTTGGGTTGGCTCTTTGGAGTGTTTATATGGGAGAAGGCCAAGTTTTCCATTTTGGGTGTGGAAGTAAGAAATGTTTTCCCTGCTACACACTGCAGTTGAGCTGACTGTTGTATTAGCTCAAAATGCAGTACGTTTATTTAAACTCCTCTTCTTTTTTTTCTCCCCTTCAAGATGAAAATGTGACGCAGAAAGCATGCCGCAGCTTCCTCCAGATGATGATTCCAAAGTTGAGCAACGACAGCATTGTGAAGAAGACCAGAATTCGCACGCATTACTGAGATCAAAGTGCCTCAAGAAACCCAAATCAGGGTTGTCAACAACTACAAACACCGAGACAATAAGCTGTCACTGTCAGAGTTTCCTGCACCAGGAGTTGAAATATGACCTGGTGAATTTCAACAGTGAGCATTTTGCCACTTTTGTTCAATACAGCTACGCTGTGTTCAACTAGGTGGGTGAGAAGATACAGTAGAGTAGCATTAAATCAGTTGGTTTGGGTTGTTGATAAGCAGTGATTAGTTGACTTATTTTATACTCAAAGATGAAGTAATGAAGTGGCTCCATGATGTAGTGGTTCACACAATCATCTAACAAGTGAGGGATCGCCCATTACTGACCTGTTGCACCCATCGGCGTGTGTGGCAACATAGTGCGATTTTCATTCGTGCACAAAGATTTGGGGTAAAATAATGCACTGTTTATTTGCAGTTTATGCACCAGAATCTGTGCGATAAACGACATTTTTCTGACATATTTTGGAGAGATTTTTGCAGTGAAGTTCAGATGACAAGCATCAGAAATATTGAAAAGTCTTCATAGCGTCATTGTTTAGCTGTTTTTTGCTGAGTTGGGACTCTCGGTGTCTGGCTGATTTTTCGCCATGTTCATGGTTTCTGAATCACTATCTGGTTTTAAAACACCAAGATGGTGAAAAGTCTCAGCTTGAGGTTTCAGACCAGATGTTCATTAATCAAAGGGTGATGTCCATTTCTAAAGTTCAGAAGTATTTTCTAGAAAATTGATATTTTGCCATTTTTGGATAAGAGAATACATTTCATATGTGGTAATGTTACCTTGTGTTCTAAAATATAGTGGACTGCATTTTATTTTCGAGGAATATTAATGGTCAAATGATCTGGAAAATAACCTTTAGTTGTACACCTGATTGACTGATCAAATGATCTAGTCTTTTCAGATCTCATTTAAGAAGAAGAATCAAGCCCACCAGGATACAACTCAGATTCTGGAAATGATAATGCAGCAACGGGTGCATTATCATTTCTTTTCCTAATGAGCAAAATGAAACTCCTCTGCTGCTACTTTGTCTGAGAATGCTTTATTTAATAACTTGAGGCACAATCAGATTTATCCATGGCTTTAAGAATGCTTCTGTGCCTCCATGCTCACCCACAAAATCCTTAGTGAACTCTATTAAAGGCCAAAAACTTACCAACAAAGCAAGCTCCATAAGACTCAGCAAACTATGTGTCCTCTTGTTTATTAAGACTTCAGGAATGTCAATAAGAGCATTTCTATACAGTAGGAAGGCTGTAGAGGGCAGCGCACAGACACAATGACCTCCCGCTATTCTCCTCGTTGATAATGACCCAGACACAGGCACAGGCACACTGCCCATCAGCCAGACCTCTAATAAAGCCAAACACTCTCTATCATCTACTAATAACCTCCATGCAGCAGTAAGAGTCATGGACAGGCCGGCGTCTTCTGAATACACGCCAGGGAACAAAGCTCCGAGCTGAAGTAGTGGAACGCATCCTGCTTATCGATCGGCGACTGTGCGCTGCCTGATGGCACACGGTGATAACGACATTCTTGTTCTTCATCCCCAAAACACACAAAGACAAAGAGTGCTGTAGAAAAGAAAACAACAGACAGACACACACACTCAGACACAGTGCAAAACATTTCACTCTAACAATCAATCCTTTGGGTAGACTCATTTGGAGGCTCTTGGTTGCCACGCTGCTTCACATCCTCAACTTCACACACAAGAACACACTTGCAAGGTTGGTATTTTTGTAAAGATAGGATTGGAAAACTCGTTAGTCTTTTCTTAATTGGTATAGAAATTCCATCCTTTTTTCCCCCTCACAGCAACCTCTCCAGGGGAATACTGATTAATAGTCCTCCAAGTCCTCATGATACTTCCCTCACCTCCTTGCACATATACACATACATCCTCGCTCCTACTCTCTGTAGTGCCGAGCCATCCATACTCAGCTTCACTGTTCAGCAGACGATCATTTCTTCACAAGTTTTCTCCTGTCTTTCCTCCAGCTTTCACATCACTGGCTCAGCCTGACAATGTATCCATACAGCTGGTCTGAGAAGGCTTGAAGAGAAAACTTATCTTCTACCCTCCTCCTCCCAGCTTGTCCCATGTCCCTGCGGAGGTGTGGCTCCCTGACGAGCCTCTCCATGGCCTTAGAGAAGGCCTCGGCCGTGGGCTCGCACAGGAAGCCCGTCTCCCCGTCTGCCACGCTCTCCAGGGGGCCCCCAGAGTTCACAGCGATAACGGGGCAGCAACAGTACATGGCCTCCACAGGAACTATCCCAAAATGCTCTCTGCTAGGGGTGTAGAGGACGGCGGTGCTGCCCTGCAGCAGTGCCACCTTCAGTGAATCTGAGGGGGAGCGGAGGAAAGTAACACAGTCCTCCAAGTGGAGCTGCGCTGCTAGCTCTTTCAGTTCAGTGTAGTGCTGAACATTCTCAGTGACGCGATCATCGTAGCCTCCTGCCACCACCAGGTGAATGCCTGGTCTCTGGCCAGGAGGAAGGCTGCTCCTCAGGGTTGCCAAAGCCGCCAGAGCCAGGCCTAAATTCTTCTTCCTTTCGTATCGGTTCAGAGAGAGAAACAGACAGGTAGTTCCCTCGGGGAGCAGTCCTTCCAGGCTCTGTGCTTCAGTGGTTGCCTCGTCAAAGGTACGCGTGTTGAGGGAGGGATAGAGGACATCTGTCTGGACTCCGCTCAGACTGCAGAAAGTCTCCCTGAAGATGCCTGCGGTGAACTGGCTGTTTACCAGAATCTAAAAGAAAGCGTAAAGAGATTTGTTCACAAAGATCTCACATAAATCAGAGGTATTTTAATTCCCTATAACATGAACAGCAGCATAAGGCCTTTGATCACCAAAAAGTCTAAAGTACAATCAACATGTCATCAGATTTCTCTCAGGGGCCTGAGCTCTGACACCAGCTTACATGTGGAGATCAAATCCTTTCGCACCGGTGAATAGCTAAAGAGCTAAAGCAGTTGCGAGGAGAGAGAATTTACTTCTCTCAAACGTCTTTAGGCTGAAAAGCTAGGTGTGCTCTCACACTAGGTAATCTGTTCTGTACCCGATTAAATTGTATCTACAAAGTCCAGTTTCCTGGCCCATGAAAAGATGGGCTCATTGTAGTTGGACTACACAGTAAGTATTTAGTATAATTGCTTATTACACACAGGCACAGAGCGTCTTCAGGAACAGCTGATTGTGAAAGTCGGCAGAGTTAGTTATTGAAAAAAAAAAAAACAATAAGGCAAGTGAGAGGATAGTGTCTCTGGACTTCCAAAAATCACCCCAAACAACCCACGAAAGCCATAAAATCATTCACTTAGTGCTCTGCAGGAATGCTTTTCAAGGTTGTACATCTACATGACAAAGTGTGAGAGAGAGAATCAAATTCAAAATGAGAGATTAATTTTCCACGGTGATTTAGCAAAACTCTTTTGACATAAAATGGTCAATCCCTTTATTCCATTAGTCTACAAATTAATTTTATTATTTTAATAATTTGTAATCAGATATGCACCGGATCAGCCTTTGGTAGGCCCACAGACTCTGATTGAAAAGTGTGCTGGGGTTTTTTGAACTTCTTTCATTGGTTCACTGATTGGTTAACATTCCTTACTATTTTTATTATACAAATGAAATAAAACAGTCAGTCCTGTAATCTGACCATATTGCTGTGTGTGATGTTACGCACCATATCAGCCATGCCTGTGGTTCGTTCCTCCAGCCAGTCGATGGGAGTACGGTAAAGCTTCTTCAGGGCCGACTTCCTCTGAGTCAGCAGCTGGTCTGGGAAGTGACAGTAGAACAGAACCTTCTTCCTGCGGCGACCCAGTCGTAACACTGGGATACACACCGACACCTGGGGTCAAAGGGAACAACGATAAGATCAAAATACAGAAAATGTGACATGTGCCCATTTAACAGAAGTGCAAGTCATAAAACGGCTGATTGTTTTTAAATGGTATTGTAGTGTTTAAAACACTGCACAAGGATCAATCAATATAAAATTCACCAAATCTGGAAAACAAATCCCACTGGACCCACTTGGAACCAGCAGGTTTTTAATTCCAACTGTAGCTTATTTAATGAAGCCATGTGTTTTATCAAGACAGAGCTTAAATATATTCTGCCAGCCCTCAAAGTTTCCACCCCATTTTAACAGTAAAATGTGCGGATTCATAAATATCCTAAAGCTAATGTACCAAATGTTTAAAAATAAATAAATAAATCTGCTCCTTCGTCTTGAGATGCTCAACTGGGAAGCACCCACTCACTGTTTTTCATTGAAAAAACAGCTAAGTGACAGAGAAGTTACAGTAAGTTATGAGACACAGTTTTCTCAGAAGAACTGAAAAAATATATGACAGTCATTCATGCTGCCTTTGCCTCCAAACGGGGTTTTAAAAAGCCTTTTTATATCCTCTCTCTTAAAAGGTTTCTGGCACTTATTGTGCAATACAATTCACCTGATCACAGAAGATGACATCATATTCCACACCGCTAAGGAAGACCAGGTAGAGGGCCACATAGATCATCCTCAGGTAGGCGCACAGGGCATGCAGGTAGCCAAACACACTGGTGGGTAGCCAGTCACCCACACACACCTATTAGAACAATAATAACAGGAGCAGTGACAAAATGTTTGTGTTTACCAGTGATATAATTTTCTTTAGTAGCATAGTGCACTCTGGCCGCTAACTTTCTGCTTCTTAATTCAGATAAAACTGAGGTTATTGTACTCGGCCCTGAAAATCTTAGAAAATCTTAGAAATATGGTATCTAATCAGATTCTTACTCTGGATGGCATTACCTTGGCCTCCAGTAACGCGGTGAGGAACCTTGGAGTCATTTTTGACCAGGACATGTCCTTCAACGCACATATTAAACAAATATGTAAGACTGCTTTCTTCCATTTGCGCAACATCTCTAAAATTAGAAATATCCTGTCTCAGAGTGACGCTGAAAAACTAGTTCATGCATTTATTACTTCCAGGCTGGACTACTGTAATTCATTATTATCAGGATGTCCAAAAAACTCACTGAAAAGCCTTCAGCTAATCCAAAATGCTGCAGCAAGAGTCCTGACAGGGACTAGAAAGAGAGAGCATATTTCTCCTGTTTTGGCTTCCCTTCATTGGCTTCCTGTTAAATCCAGAATTGAATTCAAAATCCTGCTCCTCACATACAAGGTCTTAAATAATCAGGCCCCATCTTATCTTAATGACCTTGTAGTACCATATCACCCTATTAGAGCGCTCCGCTCTCGCTCTGCAGGCCTACTTGTTGTTCCTAGAGTATTTAAAAGTAGAATGGGAGGGAGAGCCTTCAGTTTTCAGGCCCCTCTTCTGTGGAACCAGCTTCCAGTTTGGATTCGGGAAACAGACACTATCTCTACTTTTAAGATTAGGCTTAAAACTTTCCTTTTTTCTAAAGCATATAGTTAGGGCTGGACCAGGTGACCCTGAATCCTCCCTTTGTTATGCTGCAATAGATGTAGGCTGCCGGGGGATTCCCATGATGCATTGAGTTTTTCCTTTCCAGTCACCTTTCTCACTCACTATGTATTAATAGACCTCTCTGCATTGAATCATATCTGTTATTAACCTCTGTCTCTCTTCCACAGCATGTCTTTATCCTGTCTTCCTTCTCTCACCCCAACCGGTCGCAGCAGATGGCCGCCCCTCCCTGAGCCTGGTTCTGCCGGAGGTTTCTTCCTGTTAAAAGGGAGTTTTTCCTTCCCACTGTCGCCAAAGTGCTTGCTCATAGGGGTCATATGATTGTTGGGTTTTTCTCTGTATCTATGAAGCGCCTTGAGGCGACTTTTGTTGTGATTTGGCGCTATATAAATACAATTGAATTGAATTGAATTGAATTGCACTCTAACACACCACAGGAAGTTCCTCATCGAGGGTCTCAGAGAAGCAATGTGTTGGGTCATAATGGGCCGTCCAGATCTGAACGCTACATCCCTGAGACTTCAGAGCAACGGCAGCATCAACCACCAGCCGCTCCGCTCCCCCAATACCAAGGTCAGGATGGAGGAAAACTACCCGTGCCATCCTATAGACAACAAGGAATACAGTTAAAACTGAGATGAATAAGGGCAAATAGCTAATTTTCCCAAATCAGAAGTACAAAGTTTAGATGAGCAGCTTTAAGGTTAAAAAGAAGTCAGTGTTAACCTCGGGCACAGATTAAAGACAGATTAAAGAAAAAATACATTTTCTGTGGCATTCAAACAATCCAAAACTTGATGCTGATGAAAACAACAAACAGTTTTCTCCAGCAAAAGGTACCCGGGATTCATGCATCTAATCTTTGAAAGATTTCAGGCCTGCATTGTTGCCAACTTGAAGAATCTGTCCTTGTGGTTTGTACCATCACTTAATTTATAACTTTTATCCCTGAAGGTACTTCAGAACTGTTGACAGCAAGGAAATACACCCACAGCTGCTGGCAACCACCCTGTCTGACTGTCACAGCCTCCGTCACCTATTTGAGGACAAACAGCTAGTTCACAATATAGCAGAGAGAAAAAGTCGAGCTAATAACAGGTTATTCCTGATTCAGATACCTTTTTTTTTTGCTTTAGATGACAGTTAGTACGATTATAAGCCGTTTTAGACGTTTGTTCAGTTATTATTATAATGTGTTATCCGTCAACCGCGGAATTAGTAACGAAACACAACCACATCTTTAGGTAAAATAATTTAGGCTCGGGTCTCCGCACTAACCTGTCCAAATGTACCAACCTGTGATTATGCCCGTTCAGCTGTCTGTAATACCGATCAACAGTCCGACAAAGTTACCGTTTAGACGCCATCTTGGCTCAAATCAAACGTTACGACTAGACTCACCCCGCTTCGTGCTTGAGCCACAATGGCTAGCGTTTCCTCCGACGTGACAGACACGTCTCTTTCAGAACCGAGGGTAATCAATTATTTGCCTTTGATTTAATGTACATATTTATAAACGAATTCAAAACATTAGAAATAAATATTTTTATAATTATTACTTAATAACTCAAAAATGCATAAACACTTGAAATGATGTTCTGTTGAGTGTGTTTTTTGTACTAAATGCGGTCAGTTACTCAGGCTTCTATCTGGTCGCCTACTTTGGTCTTGTGTTTTGCAGTCGTGTCCTTTTTAGACAAGCGTCAGCTTTGTGGGCTCTCTTCTCAAGTTTTTCACACACTGACTGTGTGCCGCTCCTCCGACGTGGATATCAGCTTGAAGAGCTCCAAAGCGTTTTAGCTCGCATCTGGACAAATAAAACAAAATGGTAAGCTCCTCAGATCTGACTGGAACGGCTATTACTGGTCACGCTAGCCTTGTCCACCGCATTCATTCAGCACTCAGCTGTTAGCTAGTATGCTAACGTTAGCTCATCAATTGTAGACGTGGCTCTTTTAACTACGAATTAAAGGATCTCAAGACAAAGTTTCAGGCTATTGTAGTACTTAATTAAGTAAATGTTAAATATATGTGACTGCTTTAGAAGGAGATTTGGTACTTGATGCTTGATAGTAACCGTATAAGTACCCAGTCAGAGTCTTTGTAATCTGATATAGACGTAATATACACTTTAAAGCCAAATATAAGTTATTTATACACGAAGCATTTATTGAATCTCATGACAGAGTGCTGTAGGTTAGTTTTAGGTGTGAAAATGTAACAGATATGAAGGTTTGTGATTGAATGCGCTGTAACGTTGTCGTATATTTTAAACGTGCTGGTTATTTTCTAGCCTGGACCAGCAGCAAGTGCCACCAATGTTGGAGCCTCTAGCAGATCCCCCAGCAAGACAGTGGCTCCCCGTGCAGCAGGCTCCACAGTCAGACAGAGGTATGCATACACACACTTTATGTCATCAGCATTTTAAGCTGATGACAAAAGGGCACAGAGGGTGTCCTGAGGAATTGATAGATAATGCAGCCTTCATTGTCTCTACACCCAGTTTAACACCAGATTTTCTTTCTTCCACCATCCAGTGAGAGAATATCTTTTGTAAGAAAGATAACTGTGCTGCACAAACACCTTACAAAGCTTGCAATTACCCCCCCCCCACACACACACACACACACACACACACACACACACACACACACACTCACTCACTCAGTAGTGACCCATCTATTAATGTCGTCATCCTGTGAATAGGTGTTGATAATTTGTGCGCGTGTCTGTGTGCACGTGTGTGTCCACGTGTGTGTACGTGCGTGCTCCTTCCCATAGATTAGAGCAGATAGATGTTATGCTGTTGGCTTAATCAGTGTGTAATCAGAGACTCACTGCTTCCTCTCAGTCTCATTATTACCCATTACTACCACCATCTTCATTACCTCATTAACCTCTGTTTAATCTCATCCAAAGAATGACGGAGCAATGACTCAGAGTGCTCTTTCATCAACAGCTGCTGTAGCTGAAATTAAATTCATAATAAGCCGTAGTGTATAATAGATCGCACTGTTGTTTTTGATTATTTTTTTTCCCCCCTCTTCTGGTGATTTATATATGGCAGCCTAAAAGAAGGTTTTGATTTGGTTTATACAGTTGAATAAAGTTAAAGTCTGATGAACTTTGCCAACAGTATGATTGACAGAAATTGTGTTGTGCTTGTTTTTTAAAATCTAGTTTCTTTTCCATTCTGGAAAAGTGTTGTAATGTGATGACATTTTTTAATTTTTTTTAAGAAATAGCTGATTATTGGTAGAATAAAAAATCGTTTTGCATCTGTGTTGCACAGGAAAGCTACCAGCAGTGGTACACGCAGCGGTGGCAGGACCACGGGATCTGCTGGCACAGGCGGCATGTGGCGCTTCTACACTGAAGACTCACCGGGACTCAAAGTGTAAGTATAGTTTATAAAAGTTTTATAGCCACAAACCAATCCAGCGTTTGACATTTTGACTTTCGTACACTCGCAACTCCAAAACTAATCCTCAGGATTTCCGACACTCGCCATGTTTAATGGTGGGAAATTGGCCAGACGTGACTCAGCAGTAAAGCAGTTGATGTATTCAGCCTAATAAGAGTGTGAGTGTATATACACACGTAATTATGTGAGTAAAGTACACATTTAGAAAACTCTCAAACTTATATTCTGCTCCATCCTCAATGCCCAACCCCCTCCAACAGCAGAGGAGGCATCCTGCCTCCTGGCCATAGCCAGTCATTGGTTGATCAATGGTGCTGTGGTGGTTATTGAGTGCGTCTCTCCAGCAGTCGAAGGAGGGCACGCTCGCCGTATACAGTGCTGTATATCGAGTGCATGTTTGTTCCTGTGTTAGACGCCGGCCTCAAAGCTTCATTAAAGGATCCACTCTGAAAGGTCAACTCAATTACAGCCTTCTGACAGAGGGGGGAGGAAAGGGAGGGCCGATGAGGAGAGGGAGGGCTGATGAGGAGAGGGTTGGCATGGCAATGCTTCTACTTAGCCATGCGCTCCTCCACCCCCACCCCCCACTCAGAGCCTCCTTCAGAGATGAGAGCCCCTTCCTTGTTTCTAAAACTCATCAATAAAATCAGCCTCTCCGCTAAGACTCGCACTCTGGTTAGGGTTACAGCAAAGTGTGTGTGTGTGTGTGTGTGTGTGTGTGTGTGTGTGAGAGAATCTGGTTATTAATCATCGTCTCATTGTTGTGTGACAGCGGTCCGGTGCCCGTGCTGGTGATGAGCCTGCTTTTCATCGCGTCAGTCTTCATGCTTCACATCTGGGGGAAGTACACCCGCTCTTAAGCAACCCTGGCCGAATGACCTTTGACCCTGCGCCTCAGTTTCTTAACTCTTTGGACCTGGACCAAACAACAAATGAACCACCGTACCCTCCCCACCTCCTTTTCTCTGCTGTCACTACAAACACACAAATTGGATTTTTCTGTACACGATCTTCATCTGCGTCTGACTCTGGTGACCACCTTGTTGCTCCTTCCCATCACTGTGTGCATGTGTCACACATGATGGGGTGAATGGAGAGAAGCGGTGTCGCTGTCCCTTTCAAGCAGAAGGAGTAGCCTGTGTTCACTCCAATGCTGTATGAATTAAGTGCAGTGCCCAAGGACATCGTTGTTTTCAGGCCCCCCACCAACATTTCTCCCCGTAGCCTGAATTACAATTTATTTTTTTTTGTTAACAGCATTTGTACAAAATGTGATTGTATTATTGTACAATTAAAAAAAAAAAGAAGAAAAAAGTAAAAATTAATGTGTGTGTTTTTTAAATTTAACCTTACTTTGTTTGACTAAAAAAAAAAAAAATCTTTTGTTTTTCAAGTCATTTGAAGTTGAACGAGGCTTTTTGTACACTGAATGAGGGGACAAATATTCTCTGCCACGTTGTTAGTGACAAGTGAAGTTTTCTCACTTTTAACCTTCTGTATCCATTACCAGACTACTGAAAGCCGTGCGTTTTCACAAAAGGCATTTACTAGTGTTTGTTTCGACTAAAATTAAAGCCTTGATGGTGCTTTTAGATGGATAAAAACAAGGATATTAAAACAGAAATTGAAATGTTAAGTGTTAAGTTTCACTGTGATTGGCAGTCCACTAAACGCTTAAACAAATTCCAGCTACTTGTAATTTATCCGACTGAGGCTTTGGCTGTAATTCAATAATCCTATTTCATGTTCTTTTTGCTAAAAATTACATTTAAGCTCATCCTTTACTCAGTTTTAATTGCGTATGCTTGCTGTACATTTAGCAACTGCTTAAAAATTAAGTTTGAGTCGATGAAAGTTGGCTTTTTAAGTTTGGGTCTTACACCCGACTGCCAAAAGGTTGTTTTTGGTTTTATTTGTACTGGCGGCATTAAATGTGTCATTCTGCAGACTATAAAATCTATAAATACAGGCAGTCACTGTGTAAACAGTGGCAGAAATGCCACAAGGCAAACCTTTGAAATCATTTCAGAAATTAAATATGCTTGCATTCCTTCCTTCTGCCTGAATGTCTCTTTACATTTCGGGGCAATTGTCTTTGTGAATAAAGCTCATATAGAAACCAGAGAAAATGTAATTACAAAAAACACAGCTTGCAATAACTTTTAATGTTGACCAAACCACTAATACGAATATGTACATCTACATGATCACTAGATCCAAAATCTGTCCTAATTGCCCCTCCTGTGAATTTTGCCCAGGTGTGTTATTTTCTTCTCCTGAAGGGGGCGCTGCAGACTACTTTCTGAGCGCCACTGGCTCAGTAGGTACGAACTCACAAAGTTGTTCTCGCTCAGGGACAAGCACATTTTATGCCTAAGTAGTGATTTATTTAGCCCGGGCGAAACATTTTTAATGATATATATTTCTATATGTTCTTCTACAGCTACAGCTATACTTTATCATGTTGAGTAGATTTATATTGAAAGAAGTAGATGAGATAAATAGCTGGAGACACCAGTTTAAACCATGTGGATCATTAAAAAGTGTATTTTCTCTGGTTTCACTGATGCTGAGAGACCATTACTGACAGCTGCAGGCTGGATGTTTTTGTACTGTAGAAGAAGTTTTGGTCCTACGTGCATCAGGAGGTTTATCTGCGTTGAATATGTAACCACCAGCTGGCATGGCCTTGTGTGTGTGTGAGTCTGTGTGTGTGTGTGTTAAACCTAGCATTCGTGTCCTTTTCATTAATTCATTCTGTTGCTATGGCTTTACTTTCCATAAGGCTTCCAGTTCTCGTGGCAAACTCAGGCACTATTGCCACATCACTCTCCCTGTCCTACACACACACAAACACACACACGCACACTGAAAAATACACTCACAGACTCCACGGCCCAATTCACGGTGGCACAACACGGCAGTGAGCCAGAATAATTCAACATAATAATTAAATAT